TCAGGGACAGCCTTCTCGACTGGACAGTGAGCATCCCGAGGACATGGCCTATGTCATTCATATGGTGGCCACTCAATAAAGGTCTGTTGAATCAAGGAATGAGTAAAACAAGGGCAATGGCATTTGTCCAATTCACCAAGACAATGGTGCTTTATCTGAGACTTGACAGTTTAGCTTTTTTAAAAAAAGATTTATTTATTTATGCATACCAGAGCTGGGGTACAGGCCAGAGATGTGGGGGGTGAGTGGATCCACCAGAAACAGAGTGGGGAACAGAACAGGCAGACTGACTGAAATATACTGCTGAGGGGAGCAGCGGGCAAGTCAGGAGAGGTCTGCTGCGCTATGTGGGTAGCTCCCTGGCCGGCCGGGGATGGAACTCATGCTGCAGAGGCTGCAGATAGCTTCAGAGTGTGGTGCTTAACCACTTGAGCCACCAGGGAGGCCCTCGACAGTTTAGCTTTTGACTTGGACCAAAGAAAAGCTAAAATTTGTTATCATCCAAAGAAAGATTTTTGTTCTAAACTCTATGAAAGCAAGGCTTTCACAACTTTTAGGAGTTGCTAGGATAGTGGCTTACGTAGTTTTTCAATTTTGGGCTGTCAGCCAGAAAATACTGGTTGTTTATAGTATTTCTACATCTGCCTGTGTCTGCCATTAATTATTAGTTGTGATGAAAATAATTTTACTTTATAAAGCAGCTCAGAACAAGTTCCTTATTTTTATTTTCAGTTTGAAAATCAGAAACATCTGTTTTTAAAAACAGTTCTTGTCAGCCTTTTTTTTTTTTTTTTTTTTTTTTTTTGATATTGCTTACTGGCTCTGACTAGCAGAGTATTAAGCATTATGCTCCAAATCACTGTCATCTCTTCTTAACTCCTCCCACTGCCCTCTTCTTGATGTGATTGCAGCCATTTCTCCTATTTCTCTACCCTTCCTCCATGACTCACACTCCTTACTAAATAACTCCCATCTCAGACATAGAAAGCAGGCAATTCTTCAAAAGGAACATCCTCACATACTATTTGGAAACAGTCAATTACGATAGAGAGCTATGAAAATTACAAAAGACCAAAAAAAAAATTTGTACAAGGTCATTGAGAGAAAAAATAACAGAGCTAGAATCTTCCAGCTCTGACTCTGAGGCTGACCAGAGGCTTAAATAACCCCTCTGCACTCATTAACTTACAGTCTCACAAATTTATAATCTTATAAAACATGCTATCTCTGTAAATGATCGATGTACACTGTTTTAGAAAAATAAGATAAGAAAAAGGCTTTTTGACAAAAGGCATCAGTTCTCTGTCCCACCCCTGCCTCCCAGTCCCATGCTCCAAATAGAAATTCTTTTTATTATTGTGATAAAACAAAATAATATTTACCATTTTAACCATTTTTAGGTGTACAGTTCAGTGGTAGAGATACCAGCAGCAGGAGCTGGCAGCAGCAGTGGTTATCTCTCAACCCTGCTGCTCCACCACAAGCCATTTCTGGTTGTGACTCCTTGGAGCCCAGCAACCTCCATTTTATAGGTGGTGCTGGAATCATAGAATGGATCAATCAGATGCAAGCTATGAGCTGATTGGTGATAAATGGTCCAATCAGCCATAGGATTAAAAAAAATAGTCCAATCAGACTTGTAGGTGGGGCACCCCGAAAGACCATAAAAGGCAGGGATGGAGGGAGCTGAAAAAACACTGTTCCAGCTTCCGAAGAGAGAAGGGGACACTGTTGCAGTCTCCAAAGAAAAGAGAAGACTCTGTTCCTGGCCTCTGAAGAAAGAAGAAGGATCAGGTGCTGACTTATAAAGAAGAGAGAAGCATTATCCAGCACTCAACCTCCAAGGAAGGAAGAGAAGCTGAAGACCCTTGCCAGAGACTGGGCCTCCTATCCTGTCTCTGATATTTCCTGAATTGCTTCTTGGCCTTTTGGCTAAGATCAAGTGTAATATCTGATATTTCCTGAAAGGTACACCAAAGGCCCTGGACCTGGTGTTTCAAAGAGCTGTTTGTTGGTGGTGTAGCCCAACAACTTACAAAGAGCTGTTAACACTTGGTGTCTCTGTCATGGCCTCTGGGTGACTAGTAGTGATCATCACTGCTGACCATTGCTGTGCAGCACTCCTGGTGACTAGTGGTGACCACCAGTACTGGCTTTGTCTTGTCCAGTTCTGTTGACAGGTGACTGGCACATTTGTACTTCTGGTGGACACTATTTGGGTGAGACAGCCAGCCACTTGTGGCTATAGTAAGCTCTTTGTTTCCTCTGTTGCCAAATAAACCCCATTGCTGTTGCTCCTTGAGCCTGAGGTATCTTGCAATTGAGTGCACATGAGGGAACCCATAGATGGTGACCTGTCCTCTGTTGGGCACTGACCTTTGAATGGTTATAATTCCCTATTGTATAGGTATTGCTGTAGCCCTTGGTTTGGCTTTTGGGCTTTTGGCTGCCCTCTTGTCTGGCAACCCCACCTTGTTTCAGCATTAAATACATTTACCTCGGGCCTCCCTGGTGGTGCAAGGGGTTAAGACGCAACCTATGAAGCTATCCACAGCCTCTGCAGCATGAGTTTGATTCCCAGCCAGCAAGGGAGCAACCCACATGGTGCAGCAGACCTCTCCTGACTCGCCCGCTGCTTCCCTTGGCAGTGTACTTCAGTCAATCTGCCTGTTCTGTTCCCCACTCTGTCTCTGGTGAATCCTCTCATCCCCCACACCTCTGGCCTGTACCCCAGCTCTTGTATGCATAAATAAATATATCTTTAAAAAAATAAATATATCTACCTCATTGTGAAGCTATCACTTCTATGCATCTACAGAATGTTTGCATTTTCCCAAACTAAAACTCTCGGTCACAATGACTCCCCACACCCCTAGGAAGCAACCTCCTTTCTGCCTCTATGAAGCTGACCACCACACAGTGTCCCATCTCATTCATACCTCCAACCTGAAAGTCCAACATTGGGCCTGGTACCAGCTTCTGGGTCTCCATACCCAAGCCTTTCCACACACCTCTGCATCAGGCTGTTGTTTTATCCCCAATTTAAAGCTGACCACAGAGGTAAGAAAAACCCTGTGACTTGCTCAAAGTCACAAAGTGAGCATGGATAGAACCTTGACCCGTGTTCACTGTGCCTACCTTGACCTTGGGTAAGTAACCAAACCTCTCTAGGTCTCAGTTTCATCCAGAAACACAAAGACAGTCCATGACATGCCTGTTCCTTGCAGGGGAATGCAAGGGCCCAACAGAACACCCTCGGAGCTGGGCTTGTGGGAGAGATGTGACTCCACAGCTGTGGTTCCAGGGTATCTGTGCTGGGAGGTCAGGAAGGAGGAACTTACCCCTCTCTTCCCCCAAGGACTGCCCCTCAGAGCTGTAAATGCCTGTGAGAGCAGTTTCAACTTCTCACTTACTGTGGAGGTTCAGAGAAGAGAACGACTTTCTAGGGTCACACAGCAAGCTGGTGGCAGAGGCTGCCATTCAGGGCTGGCACCTAGGACTGGGACGCTCCACAGCGCCCCACTTCCCTGGACCTGGCTATCAGGGTCAGTGAGTTAGTCTCATTAGGAAAGATATCCTTGCAAATCCAGCTGGTCAGAAGCTTTCTTTTCTCCTTCCTTCCCTCCCTCCCTCCCTCCCTCCCTCCCTCCCTCCCTCCCTCCTCCCTCCCTCCCTCCCTTCCTTCCTTCCTTCCTTCCTTCCTTCCTTCCTTCCTTCCTTCCTTCCTTCTTTCCTTCCTTGAAGCTCTTGCTCCCCCCTCCCTTTTTTTTCTCTCTTATTCTTGCTTCTCTGTCTCCCTGCATTATCCCCACACAATCTGAAGTGTGGAGACCCGCCCCAGGAGCCAGGGTTTCAGGAGGATGCAGAGATCACTCAGAACATAAAGAAGGGCTCCTAGTCTTCTCAAGACCTCAGTGGAGTCAAAGTCCACAGATGAGGGTAAAGGTCTTCTCAGGCCGGGCCCAGCGAGTCTCTGCCTCTTCTGTCTGCCCCAGCTTACATCATGGGCTGTACATCAGGAGACACGCCTTGTCCTGCCAAGGCCTTTCTCCCATTGCTCTCCCCTTCTCTGGAGAAAGGGTCAGGGCCAGACCAGACAGGACCTGGCACATCCGCCACTGGTTCCCAGCACCACCTTTCCCAGCAAGAACCAGAGAGGGCAGTCACCTTCAGTCCTTCAGGCTGCTCTGCTCTGCTCTGCTCTTAGCACCCCACCCACACCTGGCTTGGGGGGACCCAGGAGGAAGGGCAGGAAAGAGTGAGTGATAAGGGCAGTGGGCTGAGCAGGGTCCCATTCTTTCCATACATGCACGGGGGCAGCGTCCAGGTATTGCCCTGGACTCCCTGAACTAGCTGGGCAGACACGGCTTGAGGAACAGGTTCCAGTCCCTGATGCCCTAAACCCTGGATGGCAGGCCGAGGCGAAAGGTCAGAGGGAGGCTGCTGCACGGGACAGGAGTATCAACCGCGTCTCTCCTGCAACTGCAGAGCTGCGGGTCTCAGCCAGCTGCATCTCGGTGGTGTGGCGAAGCGGGTCACCCTCCGCACGCTTTGTCTCCGACCCTTTGTCTCGGCTGTCTCCCCACCCCCACACGCCCTCTGCTCCAGTTGGCACACCTGGGAAGGGGGGCAGGCCCCCCCCAGGCTCCCTGGGCCGCTGACTCGCCGCCGCGGGGGGTGGGGCGCGCGACGCGAGCAGTAAGTGCCGCCCACCGCGGTCAGGGCCGGCGGCTCCTCCTCTAGGAAATCTACGCCCGCTCGCTCAGGCCCTCCTGGGGGGTGGGGGACCTGCCTTGGGCTGCGAGGCCGGGCAAACAGGGCGATTCTTGGAGGGTGAGAGGGAGAGGGCCGGGTCTGAAGGGAAAGTGGCCAGGAGCCGAGTCGCTTCCTTCGCGGCTCGCCCCGCCCCGTGGGTTCGAGTCCTCTGCACCCATAGGCAGAGGCGACCCTCCCCGCCTCTCTGCTAGCTCCGTGCTCGCCCCGCCTCGGCTCTCTTTAAAAGTTGACTCGCGCCGGGAAGCGGGGTGTAGCGAGCCATGGCTGTCTACATGGGGATGCTCCGCCTGGGGAGGCTGTGCGCCGCGAGCCCGGGGGTGCTGGGCGCCCGGGCCAGCCTCACTCGGGGTTGGCAGAAAGCGAGGTTGCAGGGCGTCCGTCTGCTGAGGTACCCGGAGGGGGAAGAAAGGGGGCGGGTCAGCCCCCGAGGGGGGACTTTGGTGACCCTGTAAAGTTTTCTAAGGGGCCCCGATCCCACTCCGACAGGGAGTGAGTGGGGAGCACCTCTGGACGCTCTGGAGAGTAGGTGACCCACACTTAGCACCCAGGCAACAGGAAAAGCTGGCCTGGCGGGCTCAGACCGGGGGCTGCTGCTGCTGGCGGACAGCGACCCTGTGCTCCTTGTGGCCCCGGATTCTTTTCCTTCTTGGGCACACAGAGGGTAGGGACTTTGGGCCTTTAGAGCCTGGCCTGAGGGGAGGTGCGGGGGCCAGGGGAGATAGGGCTCTCTCTCCAGGATGTTGCCTCCCAGCTGGACTCTCTTAAGAGATAAACTTGGGGATTTTCTGCCCGTTGTTCCCCACACGGGGCAACTAAGTGCAACAGCCTTCCCTTCTCCTGCTCACTGCTGACAAATACTAAGCTGCTCCTTGTTACCTACTTACCCTGGTCTGTTCTGATCTCAGGGCCACCACTGGGATGGGGCTGGCAGGAGGACGACATGAGTCCCCATAGCTGCTGCCTCTACAGCAGTATCTTAAATAATGCTGCCTTCCTATGAGACTGTGAATGTGAAAGTGTGTTGCTTAAGCAGAGTTGTGTTCCCATGGACATTATCAGTGTGATTATTTTGGGGTTGGGGGCAGCCTGGGTACCACTGAACCTCCTCTTTTGCCCCCCAGTTTGGGTTTGGTGAGTGGGGTTCCTGGGTTCCCTCTGAGAATGAATAGAGCAGAATCTCTGGTTCAATGGCACAGGACAAATTTATAAAGGATGAGGAGACTTAGAAGAAATGCCTGTGTAGACCCAGGTCGGCAGAGACCTGCAAGGCACATGGTGGTGTGATGGGTGTGTATGCTCTTTGATAGAATTTAGTCCTTTTGGAATTCTTTTGTGGATAATTCCTTTGGGGTTGGGTTGGTTTTCTGTAACCCACCTGATTTTCCTTTCTGTCACCCAACTGATTTTCCTTTCTGTCTCCCCTCTGTCTCCATGAAAATTCCATCCTAAATTTCTCTACTCTAAGCTTCCATCACAGCCAAGTCAGGTACTCAGTCTGTGGTCAGGAGATGATTTGGTACATCAAATGGGGTGTGGGCTTTGGGAGTGGAAAGGGAGACTTCTGAGCTGAATTTTTATCTTAGGAAACTCAGTTGGTTTTTTCAAAAAGTTGGAGAGGGAAGTAAACGCCTCTTTTGGCAGGAACACTAAGAGCACAACATTTTTAATTTGTTGGTTCTCAAAAGCTAGGAAGCCTGCAGTGCTTTCACATCACATGCCTCCTTTTCAAGGAAATCCCAGTGGCTCAGGGTGGATCCGAGGATGGGATTGTGGTGAAGAGAGTTACATCTTTTCTAGCTAGTTCCCTCACTACCTTCCAGTGCCTCTATGAACAAACATCTTCATCCCACTCCCCTGGCCTCCAAGCCCCACCTCTATATTCCTGGGTGCTCCCTTAGACTGAGGGCTCCAAGGCAGTTACCCCCAAATGTACCATGTTTCTTGATGCTACATCAGGTCACAGTCCTGACCTTTGACTTTTTTGTATGTTATCAAAGCAGATTCCTTACCTACTATAGGCCTGTGATCTCTGGGGGGTAGGGCCCCAGTCTCAGAAGAATTCTGTCCCTGTGTCCAATTGTTCAGAGATAAGATTTCCCAAGTATTTGGCCTAATTCTTTTCAACCCTTACTTTCTTTTGTGCTTGTGTTATGGCAGAATTCCATCAGGGAAGCAGGCATCACTCAGAGAGGAGGAGGGAAGTTCCTTATTTATGCCATTGGGCTTTGCAGCTTTATACCAGCAGGCCCAGAGGAGATCTCTCTCCAAATTCTGAGCCCCGAGCAAGTAGGTTACAGAGTATTGACTAAAACTAGGGGTACAGTCATCTGGAAATGCATGACTCAGTGCATGTGGCCTTGAGGGTGCTATCAGTTGTTTCCTAAAACTTTCAATCTACAAGCTATATCCCAACTTCAGCTAATCAACAGGTCAGCCTGACGTTTTCCACTTCACTTGAATCCTTACCTGTTGGCTATGGTGATTTGGCCTGATTCTTTCCTACTTTTCCCTTCAGAAACCCTCAAGAATTTTAAGCATTCAGCAAGCATTCCTGAGAACATATATCAAGTACCTGGTGGGTGCTGTGGATAGAGGAGCCATAGAACCCAGGCCTCCAGGAACTTGCAGTCTGGTGGAGAGGACAGATAAGTCAAAGTGATCACTACTCATTCTAAGTGTCCTAAGAGAAATTTCCTGGATTTCTTTCTTTCTTTTTTTAAAAAAATATTTATTTATGCATACAAGAGCTGGGGTACAGGCCAGAGGTACGGGGGGGTGAGAGGATTCACCAGAGACAGAGTGGGGAACAGAACAGTGTATTTCATCAGTCTGCCTGTTCTGTTCCCTACTCTGTCTCTGGTGAATCCTCTCACCCTCCTGCGCCTTTGGCCTATACCCCGGCTCTTGTATACATAAAATAAAACCTTAAAAAAAAAAAAAAAAGAACAGGCAGACTGACTGAAATACACTGCTGAGGGGAGCAGCGGGTGCGTCAGGAGAGGTCTGCTGCACCATGTGGGTCAGCTCCCTGGCCGGGGATTGAACTTGTGCTGCAGTGGCTGCAGATAGCTTCATAGTGCTGAGACTTACGCCCTTGTGCCACCAGGGAGGCCCAAGTTTCTGAATTTCTATTCCCTTCTTTTTCTAATCTGTGACATATAGCCTGCTTTCTTGCTGTCCAATACCTTAGGCCTATTATTTTTCAGCTCACCAGTTTTGCCTGTTAGGAAAGAACAAGTAATTTAAAGCCAAAGTGTCATGGATTGAAGCCCTGGAGCCTGCACCTAATCAAGGTGGGCATATTGCTGTGAGCGTATTTCATAACCTCTGAGTCTGTTGAGTATTTGTTGATACTGCCACCTGTTCACTGCATGGACAAAGTCTTGCTCTTCTCCTCAGCCATTCTCTTGGAGCCTGCTCACCTCTGAGAACCTTCAAATGGTGTCTGGGCAGGAATTTCAACTGATTTGAAAGTAGGAGAGGATCTTCTCCTCAGTGGCCTCTTTCTTATACCTAGTTTTCTCTCCTGGATAGTTGTCAAGGTGGTAGCCTCTGCCTGGCCACAAGCCAGCCCTTGGTTCTGCTGGACACTCCCCTCCCCATTAGGACTGTCCAGGGCCTTTTTCCCAGAAGGAAAGAAGAATCTGACCATCGCTTTCCAGATCTCCCTAACCACCAACTCCTTTATTTTTGTCCACATACCTCCTTCCCTGAGGAAGGGGGATGGGCTAGTCTGGGGCTTTAGGTAGTCTTTTTTTTTTTTTTTTTTAAAGATTTATTTATTCATTTATACAAGCACTGGGTACAGTCAGAAGCACGGGAGGGTGAGAACATTCACCAGAGCCAGAGCGGGGAACAGAACAGACAGACTGACGAAGTACACTGCTGAGGGGAGCAGCGGGCAGCAGGAGAGGTCTGTGCGCCATGTGGGACCCTCGCCCAGCGGCCGGGGATCAAACTGGCGCTGCAAGGCTACCTACGGGCAGCAGCCCAGCGCTCAACCACTGTGCCACCGGGGAGGCCCACTTTAGATAGTCTTGGAAGGAGGAATTCAATGCAGTTTGCTTGATGAACTTGAGATGGGCAGGCTTTCTCCAGATTGCCTCTAAAGTTGGCCAGGGACTACATTCCAGGCAGCTGTATGTGGGATGTTGGGGGCACTCAGAGATTGGAAAGATGGAGAGCGGCTTAAGTCTCTCAGAATTGGGTCGTGATGCTCAGATCTGGGGTTCTTGTAATTTGATGCAGTTGGTTGGGGTAGAGGAGTGAGCTGGCTTCATGGATCACCATCTAGGGGGATGACTGTAATCAGGTGGGACCAGCATCAGAAACTATTAGATGCTGTCCCTATATGGGGGACAGCATGTATGAAGCCAGGAAATGTTTTTTGTGTTTTTTTTTTAAAGATTTATTTATATATGCATACAAAAATTGGGGTACAGGCCAGAGGTGTAGGGATGAGAGGATTCACCAGAGACAGAGTGGGGAGCAGAACAGGCAGATCAACTGAAATACACTGCTGAGGGGAGCAGCGGGCAAGACAGGAGAGGTCTGCTGCGCCATATGGGTTGCTCCCCAGCCGAAGATCAAACTGGTGCTGCGGCAGCTGCGGACAGCTTTATAGGTTGCGTCTTAACCCCTTGTGCCACCAGGGAGGCCCGCCAGGAAATGTTTTGGGTAGAAGCCATCATAGTTAACAAAAAGCACTTTTCATATTATCCTAAAAAGATGAGTAACAAATGATTTGGTAATGACATCCCTCTGCATTCCACCAGGGAGCCTCCCATCTAAATGTAACAATAGAAAAAAATAGATAAACCGTGACCATAGATAGCTACAGAATTGGACTTTGTAATCAGCAAATGACACATTGATTTTCCTGTCTTGGATACAGTAGGTCTCCCGTATATTGGGGAAATATAAAGATGGTTGAATTTATTTTCACTGTTTCGTCGCCAAAAGGGTCTCCAGCGGAAGCCCATAGGCCCCTTGATTCAAGGCAGAGAGGGTGCTGTGCCATTTAGGGATGTCAGTCAAATCAGGGAAGAGTCTGATGGGTAGGAGTGGAATTTGGGAAGACTTCTTAAGGAGGTTGGGATTTGAACCTGAGTCCTCCAACCATGCAGTTTGAAGTGTGGTCTACACACTTGTATGCGAACTTTCTTGTGCTTAAACTTTATGAGTCCTGGGTATGAAGCCCTCTTCACATCCCCCACATTATTTTATTTATTCAATCCACAGACAGAAACTTTGGAGCCAGACAGAGATGGGTTGGAATGAACCACTTTCTAGCTGGTAGCTTTGGAACTTCTATTGAAATTGACTTTTCTCATGAGAAGATAGTGTGGTGAGGATTAAATGAGGTCACATAAGAAACTGCTTCACCCA